CTAGTCCTGTAGGGATGCCTGGGCCTCCAAAGGGCCTAACGCCTTCCTGAGGGCCCCATTAGCTTCGCCTAAAAGCCCAGTCCCCGAGCTCTGCCGGCTCTGCGTGCGCTCTCACCGCGCCCTCGATCCCCCGGGGACGCAGCCACCAACCCGGGCCGGGACAGCAGGACTCCGGGCCCTCCCTGGCTCTTGGTAAAGAACACTTCCGCTATCTCAAAGTTGCCATAAGAAAATAAATACAAGTGACATTGTACTGGGCCAAAGCTCATTAGTTCGTTGTCCAGGCCTAATAAAGGAACAGAAGCGCAAATTATAGAGTTCAGCTTCAACACACGCTCTGTCACCCGAGATCAGCGCACCGCGAGCCTGATTCCAATTGCTCCGAACTTGCTGCGCAGTTCGTCCCCCACCCCCTCCTCTCAAGCAGGAGGTTGGGTGGAAAAATATAGTTCCAAAGGGGGTAATGATCAAGCTTTTCCTCTCGGAAGCCTGCGCCACCTCATTTCCCATCAGTAATCCCAATAAAATTAACGTCGTGGCTGCAATTGAAAAGAGGAGGGCCCGCAACACTCCTGAAATAACACATTCTCCCCAGCAAAAGGTAAAAAGCAAAACGGCCCTTTGTTCAGCTAATTAACGAAGGCCCAACTCCGAAAGCAGATGTGTTTGCTTAGCTAATCACAAGCATGTTTCTTTCAAGGAACGTCATTTCGAGGGGGCCGCTCCGGGGGAGATGGGAGAGAGGGACACCACCCCCCAGGCCCAGTCTGCCTCGGGTGTCTCACCCCAGTCTAAGATCCAGAGGCTGAATCCAGGCAGCCCGTCTTTCACACCTTTCTTCCCCTCAGCCCTACCCCAGAGGCCCCAGAGTCAGAGACTTCAGCGCTAGCCCCAAGGCCAAACCTGCAAGACACGAGGGGGAGAAAAATAAAAGTTTTAATGACACAGATGCCATATTAAATGAGGCAGTTTTACAATTCACTTTGAATAGGACGCTAACTTATTACAAGTGTGTTATCAGAAGGACGATAAGATTTATAACTCCAAGAGTCAGCTTTGCGCCTTAATGACAATGGATGTTAAGAGGAGGAAATCTGTTCTCTATTAGAGGAGATGAGAATCCCTTCCCGCGTTTGGGGGCATTTACAGAGGCCTCCAGGACCAAGCTCTTTGTGTCTCCATATGAAAGATTCTCCCTTTCCCCTTGGACTATGAAATAGGGTCTCCTTGTTGGGTTAGCACCTTGCTCAGCTTTTTAACGTGTGCTTGGGATAGAAAAAACAGAAGGAAAACGAGATAGAATTGGGGATGGAGATAGAGGTGGGTGGGGAGCGGTTCTTAGCCCTCTGGTTCCTACAGTAGAACTATTTCCCGGTCTTTCTTTACCATACAAAAGATAGCTTTCCCCTAAACCAACACAGTAAGCAAACTTTAAAAAACTGGGGTCCTATTACAAACCAACGCCCAGCACTAACTGCTTTAAAATTACTGCATAATTAGATTTAGTTGAATTTCACCATTAATTAGGCAGCCGCACTGCAGGGAGCCTTTGAAATCTGAGAAAATGGGAAAAATCATCTGAAGCACGTTTTTTAAACCCAACTTCAATAAATCTTGACGAGGCCTGGAATTCAGAGAGTACCTCGCTCCCCTCCCAGGCGGCTGAGGGATAGGGTTGTCCTGGCCGGCGCTGGGGATGGAGCTGGACGTAGCGGGGCGATTTCCCCATCCGCCCGAGAACGGGGCCTGAGCCAGGATCCACTGTCTCTGCAGAGGCCCTCGGAAGACCCTCTCTAGGAGGCCAGGTCTGTCCCACGGCCGCCCTTGCCCACTCTCAAACCTATTAGAGAAAGAGGATCCTCCGCTGCAGTCCCTCTCCTGCCAGGGGCACAGTCCACGCGGGCTCACACATTTCTAGGGTCTGCGACCACCCGCCTGGAACCAGCCCTCGGCCCCTGCTAGATCCTCCCACCCCCCAATCAACCCTCCTCCCGGAAAGCCACCTTTCCCACAACTTGGACGTGCAAGCAGCAAGTTCTGCCCAAGTCCAGCGGGGTTCGCATTCCGCCCTCCCCCACCGCCCCGCGCGCCCCAGCTCCGCTCCGGCCCGCGCAAACCCCGGCGCAGCCCCTGCATTAATGAGCGCGAGAACTGACCGAGGTCTGTAAAGACCGTCCTCTCTCCCTCCCCCTATATCATTCAAACATTTAAGATCATCTGCGGATACAGACTTTTTATTTTTCTAATTTGGTTCTTGGAAGGAGAGGAGACAGGAAATCAACTCTCCTGAATATGGGAGGGGGAGGGGAGAGGGTACAGCGTTACCAATATTTTCCTTACGAATTCTGTTGCTTTAATTAAAGAATCAAGGATCGGACTCACTGGCCAGCAAGAGTTTAAAAGAGGGTTTTCGTCCTGCAGACGGAATGGCCTTTAGCGCCCCCCGCCCTCCTTTTTTCCTTTTTGGTAACCAATGTGTTTTCTATTACCCGGCCCTGCCGTGCCTGGCAGCCCGGCGCTCACGGTGCAATGGGAGACGCCATGTTGGCTCAGCTCATAGGACCAAGTCAAAAGCGAGCTTCGAGGCAGAGTTTCACACGCTCGAGCTCCCCCTGACCGCCCCCCGCCCCCGCCCCCGCCCCCCCCCCGCCTGTCGCCGCTTAATGCACATCCCAGGAGTGCAGCTCCGCGCGCTCGGCACCCCGGACTTTCCCGGGGCGCTGGCGGAATTCTGCCGCACGTAAGTGGGGGCGGGGGCTGGGGGGCAGGCACTTTCCCGCAGCAGCTGCCAACTCCAGGCCCCCGTCCCTACAGCCGGCTGGATGCTAATCCAGCCGTCTCCGCGGAACCAGCTTTGGACGTCGCCTGCTAACTTTGAGCCCCAGCTCCTCGCGGCCCGGGGAGAGCTAATGGTGAAAGGCAGAGGCAGGGCGACCGCGAGCCGAGCGAGCAGGCTGGAATCCCCCCCGGGCGCAATCTTCCCCCAGGTTTGTTTGAAAGTGGCGAGAAGCAGCGAGCGCCCCTCTCTCTCCTTGCACTATTGTTGCATTTCGCGTCTAACTGGGTTCTCTCACACCCCCGAGCGCCACGAGGAGGAGGGGGAGCGGGGTTGGGAAAAGAAATAAAGCGAGCTCAGATCAGATGAAAAAAAAAAAAAAAAAAAAAAAAAAAAAACCAGCAAGGAAAAAGAGACACTTAAAGGGAAAGAGTCGCCATGTTTAGCAGCTTTTTTAAAGATCTCGTCAATTTCACACAGAACGCGCTCGCTGGGTCCCAGCCCTCGTCTTTTGTCCAATTCAGTCGCAGCAAAGATCTTTTGTTCTAACTCAGCGTGAAAAGAAAAACTTTCTTTAAATGCAATAAACTTAAACCGAACTCAAGACTCTAAACAGATCCTCCTCCGGCCACTCTAAACATATACAAGGGGGTTTGTTTTAACCGGTTGAAAAATTTTGGTCCTGTTTTTCTGCCTCGCAAATCCCAAGCTCATTGCTGAAACTTAAGAGTGTGAGAGAGATTTCCAACGTCTAGAACACATGCTTAAAGCATAATAAAACAGGGATTGTCTTTTGCTTTGAAAATCATAAATTATAATTTAATGCCAATAATAATTTACAACAAATGGCTGTTTACAATAAACTAACACAAAACAAACAAGGAAAAGGGCCTGTGTTTTACTTATTAGAGAAACTTCACACACTCACATGGATAGCACTTGCAAGAGGAAGAAAATAAACAACAACCGACAAAACCTCGAACTAAAGGTCAGCAATACTGTGCCGTAAGAACAGACTTGTATTTATATATGTATATATCTACAGAAATAAATGAGAGTCAGATGGAAAACTCTGCACAAATCAGATTTTACTGGTCTGCATGTATTGACTGGATCTGAATATTAACGTTTAATACACTTTACAAAATGATCCCTTTTCTTTCACCTCTCTCACTAGTTCCCCCCCCCCTTAAAATTAAACCACAACATGATGAAGTACTGGCGGTGGGGGGTGGGTTGGAAACCTTGAATAAGAACAAAATTGCAAGCTCCCAGCACTGAGCTTCCTCCAAACCAGGAAAAGAGAAAGAGGAAAAATGAAAAAAGACTCCAAAAGAAATAGTTACTACTTCTAAATCAGCACACCCTGTAAACTTTCCTTCCTTCCTTCTTTCTTTTTCTGTCCTGCTTTCTCTTCCTTAACTTGGCTTCTAAGGACAAAGGATCCCAAGAGCAGTATAGATTGTAGCTACACAATCTGAAATGTCAAAATGTCGATGTGTTTTTATGTACATAACTCCAATGGAAAAGATTCCCTTGACCCTGTGGTCATGCTCTCACAGACTGAAGGTAAAGGGGGGAGGGGAGAGGGAACCCAACTGCAAGTTATCATATATACATTAAAAATAGACCCTTCAGTCTTATAACCTATATCACTGAATTTGAAACTCTATCAACAACCACGCTAGAGTAGAACCACAGAATATTTTTAAAAATCCCACCTACTTAAGGAAAAACTCATTGCAAACAACTGTCCTCTAATTACAATGCTGTGATTAGCTTGCTTGAACGATCTTCTGAGTAACTGTCAGAAATGTACAAAAGAGTATTTTTTTCTGATCATAAAATAGATACTGATCTCAAGATTTCTAATACTTTTTCACAATACCTTCCCTAAGCAGGCACTTAAGTGTGACAAATATAAGGGCCTTTTTTTTTTTTTCCTGGAAAATCCATTTTTAATTAAAAGGAGGATTAGGTGAATGGGGGTGGTTTACTATATCAGTATGGCACTTCCTAAACCATAGATAAACCATTAACTTCAGCTCCCCCCCACCCACACACACACCCAAATTAAACAGGCAAATACACTAGTCCACCTTTGAACAAACTGACTGAGGGGAGTAAACAAATGCCCCCCCCCCACTGCCCCCCACCCGGCCAGCTAAGCGAGAGCTCACAAGGGCTCTTCTAGATGTAAAGACAGTGAGTGGGGACAGCCAGGTTTCAGATATCAAATAATATTTTAATTTCTGAATACTTTCAATTTTCCTTGGAATATAACACACAAAGACTCGACCAAACAGTTCAGTTATTATAACTTTTACAGTATACAGAAATGTTGCACTTAAAAAAAAAAACCTTCAGTTTTTTTAAAACACAAACTGTAAACTCTAAGATACTGAATCAATCACGTTACCTATAAGTGCCAACAGTGTTATTTTTGTCATGCTGATTTCAATGGTATTTTTTAAAAAGGGAAAATATCAACAATTATAATACAAAGGGTTTGCAAATATACAAACAGATATAGGATTTTCATAACAATTCAAGAACTAAGCGGGACCCAATTCAAATTACAAAAGTTCACTTTTTATTCAAAACCTCAGCATGTGTCTTGGACACATTCCTTGGCTGCCAATAAATTCCACAGTTCATTCTCTTTCTTAAAATATTTTTTAAAAGCTAGGTTTGTCATGGTGTCTTTTGGGGAGGGGCAGGGTAGGGGAAGTTAAGTGTTATATGTGGTTCCTCCAGTTCTCTAATTAGAGTGCTCAACTTCACCTAAAATTTTTGGTCACCACTTGTAAGTGCGTTTCCATCATCTTTGAGTTGCCTTTTAAAGTTTTATGTCTTCCTATGATATTTTCATGGACTCAGTTTTAATTCTTGCAGAACATATATTTTAATGATACACAGTTTTTAAGAAGCCAAGATTATATCAAAACTTATTATAGAACCACAGAATAAACTGGTTTGGAACCAGAAAAGTACAAAAAAGAACAGCTAGAGGTACATAGACACAGGACAATTAATAATTTGGGAAAAAAAAAAAAGACTTACTTTCTCCATTCTGCTAATTTTCTCCCAATCTCCTTAAATGCACTTTTAGCAATGTTTTTCAAAAATTTAGCAAAAAAAGAAAAAGACTAATTTCCTTTTTATACAAAAATGATAAGTAGCAAGTTGTTCTGACCGACACAGGAGTTTTTTTTTTTTTAATGCATTCTGTAAAAGTTCATTTGACAGTCTTTTTTTTTTTTTTTTGAAATTCACAGTCCATTAAATTCTTCCCCTCTCTTCTTTTAGCAAACTTGTAACATCCTTTTATATCCTTTCTTAACAGAAGGAAATCAAGCAAACAAACCAGTCTTTTGCCTTTTCTTTCTCTGTTTCACTCCCCCTTATTTTATTTATTTATTGAATTGCCATATACGGCCAGTTAAAACTGCTGCCGGACAGTAACATATCCCGGATGAGGGTTTCGATGGGGGTTTTACCTACCAAACGGACGAAAAACAATTGCTCTATGACTGAGGAGGAGACGGTGCGGAGGGAAGGGAGGCGAAGCAAAAGCTTTCCGAATCGCGTCGGCTGGTTGGGGTACTGGCTCCTAACGTATTCTTCCAAAGCACACTGAGACTTTTCCTGCAAGCTTTCCACATGGGCTACATCAGAGAGACCACAGGCATCTGGAAGAAAGTTTAAAAACAGGAGAAGAAGAAGAAGAAGAATTCAGTCATCAGATTAAGAGGTTTGAATTGGGTCACATGAGGTGTGTGCACAGAGCTCTGTCAAACTGCCCCAACCGGAGTTGGAGCAAATGTCTATGTACTGAAAACTTAAGGAGAAAGAGCAAGAGATGGTCCTGAAGAAGTGTTTGCTTTAAAATAAAACATAGCTCAGTGTGCTAGAGGCTTCCACTGCCTGAGTCCTTAGCCTGGGTCATTGAGAGGCCCAAGCAAAAGTGCATTGGGTCTATCTGGCCCAAGTCAGTAAACAGAAGAAACCAAAACTACCAGCACCCTTTCCCCTCCTCCTCTGTAAATAATAGTTTGGCTTATAATTATATAGGGGTTTGTGGGGGTTGGGAGTGGACAACCTGGCCCAGTCCCGAGTAATGGCGTCCACGATCCAGCCTCAGATTCTCCCCAAAGAGGGCGACTCATTTTTCTCCAGTCTTTGAAACTGATTTAAGTGGCCCTTTAAAACTGATCTTGTCAGTTTAGCCTATTGAAGGGCAGCCATGCAAACTGTGATCTCTCTGTTCATTTGAGCTGTTTCTTTTTCTCCCTTTTCTTCTCTCTCCCCTTTTCTCCCACCCCCCTTTATTTTTTAAAACCCAGGTCCCTCCAAGAAGCATCCCCCCTCCCTGTTATCTTCAGGAAAACACTCTTCTTTTTTGATATGTGAAAATACAATAAGTGCCTTTGAAATGAGAAGCTTCTTGGTAAAGGCGGTTCAGGTTGTGACCTGACCTTTCAGGGCTCCCCAGACAAGACTGGGGTTAACAGATGCATATTGTGAATCGTTAAAACAGATATTCGAAAATCAGCACCACCACCTCCAGCCCAAGAACCAGAACACACATGCAACCTCCTCATATGTATATCTAGGACTCTGCATGTCTACAGAATGTAGAGGTGTCTGTGGACAGGAACTAAAAGATCTGTTTGCATAGGACTCCTTCCCTCTGCATCCTCGGAACTGTGTGTCTCCCTCTGAATCAGATAACAGGAACCTTTATCTCTTTGTGAGGCAATCTGCATTCTCCACACAGGCCTCCACATTTTGCAAATAGTCATAAATTAAACTGTTAATGACAGTATCAGGCATTTTTTTTTTTCCTTGAAAGACCAAGGGTAAGGCTAAGAGCTAGCAATGATATCAAGAAATTAACAACTACCTCCATCATCCAAGAAGGTAGGCTGGGTGTTGTGTTGTGGGACAGGGATGAAGGTGGCTATGAGGTAGGGAAATATCTTGCCTGCATATCTGCAGCAGGCAAACGTTCTAGATATGAGGGGCTCTCGAGAAAAATAATCCCTATCCAAACCTCTGCAAACAGCTTCCCTGCCCAGACACTGGCCTTTAATTGATTACCTAAGGACTTCCAAAGGCAGAATTTGGGGTGGCTGTGCCGGGAGATTTTATGTGGAAAGCAGCAATGTACAAGACTTAGCAGTTTGAAGACTCAGAACCTGCAAGCCGTTCAGCTGATGACTTAGTTCCCCAGACTTCTTTCAAATAAAGAAGAGATTGTGGACCTCCTTTATGTTTGCCACATAAGCTACACATTTCTCCTCGTTTCCTGTTACAAGCTTAAAATATTGTAGTGGGTGACTAGGTTCCAAGCCCTGCTAATGTCCAAATGTTTGTTATTCTTAATCGGGAACCCCTTTCCCCTCTCAGCCATGACAAAGGGATCAGCTGACAACTTAGTACAAGAATGTGAAAAGGGGTTGGTGATTTTCATCCACCTGGGCTATGCTGAACTCAACCTAGAGGCAGCCAAAAAGCTCAGGTGTGGCCCAAAATGGAAAGCCAGACACTTTCAAAAATCATTTTGCCTCAAGAGTTAATTAATATCAGATCTATTACTCACACAGGTTAAACTACATGCAAACTAATTAGATTGCATAATGCAGTCAATGATGGTTTTATATCTCTAGCAACATCCATATCCAGCCCAAGTTGGCATACACTTTGGGTTGTTTGAAAATTGCCTTAAGTGTTTGCTTGGGCAGGGGAAGCAAGAGGCCAGAGTCTTCAACCTCCTGCAGACATTCTAAAGAGTTATGACAGTCCCTTTCCTCCTCTTGCCCCCTTCCTGACAGATCTTTTCCCCTCTCCTGGCAGTCTGCATTATTTCAATAAGAATATGATTTTGAAAATTGCTGCCCTCAGGTTGGATTTGCCTGGAGCTCCAACTCCTACTGAGTTAGCAGGCAAACTTTTCCCCTGCAGGGGCAAATTTGCCCCTGTAGAGACACTGTCAGGGCTGCTCCAGTGCCCAGGGGCATCTCCTGGAGGCCCAGCCAGGGTGTTAGAGAAAACCCAGGTCTTGAAAAGATTCCCTGGGGCCCAGCAGGCCCAGGGGGCCTGGGCTCAGGAAAGGGAAGAGGAGAGGGCATCCCAATCTGGATACTGCAGGTAGGGGAAATAGGCAGCAGAGGCTGCCCTATGGCCCATTTGGGGAATCTATCTGAAGCATCCTTCCTGCAGTCCAGCCTTCCTCTCCTCTCCCCAGGACAGGCCTGGTGGTGCCCAACAGCTATACAAAGTTCCCACTTCAAGTTGCATTCAACAGTTTGGCCTTTCAAGGAGCAGTATGGGTTTGCCCTGGGGACTCCCAAGTTCTCTGGGCCCCAACTCTGGGCTAGGAGCCCGTGGGCACGAGAAGACAGGGCTCCTTCCTACCTGAGGTGAACAGGACTATGGCCTTGAGGCAGCTGTACTCGGCTGAGTCAACGTGCAGCGCCTTGAGCTTCTCCACTTGCTCTTGGAAGATCCGTATGTGGTCCATAAAGGCGACCACCCGGTCGGCGGACATGGGCGAAGCATGCAGGCCGGCGGCGGCCAGGAGCGGGGCGACATGGAGGGGCATGGAGCACTGCGCCGCATTCAACACAAACAGCTCGCTCCAGGTGAGGCGAAGCAGGGCCACCTGGTCCGTGATCTGCAGGTCGGGGAAGAAGGGGATGTTCCGGGCCCACTCGACGGCGCTGAAGAGCATCCTGGCGGCCAGTTCGCAAATGTTCTCGATACCCATGATGTTGTTGGGCTGCATGCATTGGCTGCCGAAGCGCGACGTGGGATAGGGCTCGGCGCGCAACAGCAAGGAAATATATCCGGACAGGTACGAGTGGCAGTTGAGGGGGTCCCCGTTGGTCAGCGCGAACTGCCCGTGGGTGGGCTGGGTCGGCGGCATCCTGCCCCTCTGCACCGCTGCGGGGAGGAAAGGAGACACTCCACAGTTAATGACCAGCCTCAGTCCCCAGGTTCCCCGGCGGGGTCTGCCCCAGTCCGACCCCCACCTGACCCAGGCCCTGAGCAGCGCAAGAACCAGGCCACAGACCTGGAGTCGCCAGGCTTTTGGCACCATTCCTTTGAAACCACCACCCAGGCGAGCTCTGAGGGTCAGAGGGACACACTTGCCTCCGAGGCCCGCTCAGGGCTGGTCCACCGAGGACCCAGAATTGGCCACTTTGCCTCGGGGTCCCCGGCGCTGTGGGCGGGATGTAGCATTCTGAGGGCATCTTTCTTCTTTACTGCTAAACAGCTGATATTTCTTATTGATTGGAGGAGAGGGAGCGGGAGGGGCAAGTCTGGGGGGAGGGTGAGACGCTTTTGCAAAAGGCACGACGGTTCACCCCAGACGGCCTGTGGCCACTCCGGAACGACTCTCCCACAAACCCCAAAGCCCCAGCCCCAGCCCGGCGGGGAACCCCCAGTGAGAAACAAGCAGAGAGCGGAGATCTGGCGTCTGTCTAATCAGTGTGCTTGGAGAAAGAGACCGAGGGACAGGGCGGAGAGAGAGAGAGGCCGGCTTAAGGAGAGAGGAAGCCGGGAGAGGCAGGGAGCAGGCGGCCGGCACTAGCGGAGCCTGAGCAGGGCCTGTAAGGGCCGGGGAAAGCCGGCGAGGCTCGGGCTCAGGCTGTTATCTGACTCCGGACCTGGAGAGTCGCTCTCGCAGAAACACAAAGAAACCCCGGCGTTGGCTCGCCCCAACCCGGAGCCTGCGCCCCGCGCCGAGCGCGCCATTGGCAAAGCACGGCTCGCGGCGCTCGGCGAATTTTATATCACAAAGACCCAACTCGCGCAGAGCGAAAGCAGCCGCCCAGGGCCCCTCGCCCACCCTTTCCTACTTCCTATCGCGCTCTCTTCGTTTCAAAAGTGAAAGGAAAAAAGCAAGCAGAGGTTTTTTTTTTTTTTTTTTTTTTTTTTTTAGCAGAATGTTAATCCACGGAGGGTCACATGAGCGCTGCCCGGGCGGCAGCGTTAATACGGCGAAGTGCATAAAATTGCCATTTGTAATTTGAACCTCCTGTACAAAAGTACAATCTCAGGTTGTTTTTTTTTTTTTTTTTTGAGAGGGTGGGGGCTGGGGAAAGGGGTGAAGGGGAGGGACATGTTGAACATGCAGGAAAAACAAGGGGAGAGAGAAAGAGAAGTAAACTAGGCTTTAAAACAACAACAACAACAAACACCCCATCCCTTGCAGAAAGGCAGACTCCAGTGAACTCACAATCAATGCAAAGCAAATGAAAACAGCCCAAAGACAGAGTAAAGAAGGAAATCAGTCGGCCAAAGCATGCGGATTTGGGGTTTGGGTTCCAATGCAGAACTCGCTTCTAGTATAAAACCCCTTTCCGGTGCAATACGAAGAGAAGAGCTTGGGGCTTCTTGTCCTTACCCAGAGCAGGCTAGCCAAACGTACCCAGGACCCCGGGACCCAGCACGAGGGAAGGAGAAATGAGAGGCCGATACCTTCCCGTCTCATGCCCACTTTGAGGCACTTTTTGAGGCGGCAGTACTGGCACTGGTTGCGATGGTGCTGGTCGATGGGACAGTTCCGGTTGGCGCGGCACGTGTAGCTCAGGTTCCTCCGCACGCTGCGCTTGAAGAAGCTCTTGCAGCCCTCGCACGTGAACTGGCCGTAGTGCTTGCCGCTCGACTTGTCCCCGCACACCACGCACTCGATGTGTTGCTGCTGCTGCTGCTTGTCGCTACCCGGGCCGCCAGGGCCGCCCTGGCCACTGGCTGCCGTCTGGGCTGGCGTGCTGGCTGGGCCCCCTTGGCCGGGCGTCTGTGGCGTGTGCGGGGCGCCGGGCGGCGGGCCGGGCACGGGCGGCGCCTGCGAGGCCTGGCTGCCCTGTGAGCCGGGCACCTCGTCCTGGGGGTCGCGCCACGTGCTGACTACCATTGCCATATCTATGGGGGCCGCGTCCGGACTTCCTGCTCCCCTGGCTGCGGGCGGCGGCGGGGCGGCGGCGGCTCCCCGGGTCTCGGGCTCCGGCGCGCCGCCTTTTGTGTGTGCGAGGGTGCAAGAGGGCGCGGGAGGGCACCCCGGGTGGCTCGGGGGCTGGTTGGTTGAGGTTGGTTAGTTTTTCCTTTTTTGTTTTTGCTTTTGCAAAGTTTTGTCGATTGCTTGTCTGGCCCGGTGTGTTTGTTTTGTTTGTTTCCCTCGGCTCAGCTTTGTTGGTTTCGGGGGGCTTTCCGCCGGGAGGGGAGGGGAAGGGGACAGGATAGCGAGTGGGAGCAGAACGTGGAGAAAGAGGGAGGGGAGGGAGAGCTGAAGTCGATTGTCTGGCTTCAAGACAGAAGTAGGAGGCAAAAAAAAAAAAAAAAAAAAAAATCTCTCCAAAGATCTCGCTCGCTCTCACTCTCTCCCTCCCTCTCTCGTTCACTCTCTCGCTCTTAGAGCTGGTGTGCAGCCGAGGAGTTGGCGGAGGAGGAGGAGGAAGAGGAGGAGGAAGAGGAGGTGGTGGTGAAGGAGGAGGTAGAGGAGGAGGAGAGGCGACTGTCCGGGGGCCAAGTCCAGGGCAGCCCACAGTCAGCCATTCAGGAAAGCCATCGAAATCAGGAGGACTAGGAGATCGGAGGCGCCGGGTGCGGGCGCGCCCAGGGAGCCAGGCAGGCCGGGGCGGAGGCCGGCGGCCCGCGGAGTGGCCGGAGCGCTGCCCGGGTCCGGGGGAATCAGCATGAAAGTGGTCCGCGTCGGGCGCTGCGCGGCGTCGTCCTGGCGCTGGGCCGCCGCCGCCGCCGCCGCCGCCTGCCCCGGGCGTCCGGCGCGCGCCTCGCTCTCTCCGGCCGCCGCTGCCCGCAGTCTCTGGGTGGAGGCCGCTCGCCGTTCCCTGCGGGCCGCCCGGGCCGCCGCTGCCGCCGGAGCCGCCGCCGAAGCCGCCGGGTCGGGCCCGGAGCCGCCGCGTCTAGCGCCGCCGCCGCCGCTGAAGTCGCTGCTGCCGCTGCTGCCGCCGCCGGAGCCGCTGCTGCTGCTGCTGCCGCCGCCGCCTCACACACATAGGGAAAGAGTCAACTCGCCGGCGGCGGGGGAGAAATGATAAAAGAGAGAGAGGAGGGCAGATCACCACCTAGAAGCACATCCTTCGTGCGCAGAGGGGGGAGAAAAAGACGGAGAGAAAGAATGAAAGAGGGGAAAAAAGGCAGCACGGCACCCGGAGAAAGGAGGCAACTCGGAGAGAGGAGGAGGAGGAGAAGAAAACACACGCGCGCACGCACACACACACCGCGGAGAGAAAAGAACAGAGAATCAAAGTGATCAAATATGCTAAAAAGGGGGGCGCGGGAGGGAATGCGATTTATAGGCGCCGGGGCTGGCAGAAGTGGCTTCTCCGCGATCAGCTCACTGAGCTCTCTATATAGTGAACTTTGACACGACTGCTGCAACTTAGCGCACGTTGCCATGGCGACGGCGCGCCTTATAAGGCAGCAGCCGGGGTTGGCCTGGCCAGGCGCGCGCGCGCCGCCCCCTCGCCGTCATTGGCCGGACTGCGGCGGCCCCGCCATGGCGGCCGCGGGCGCAGCCCGGTCCTAGCGCGAGCGGCGTCGCAGGCGCGGCGCGGCGCGGGGCGCCCGGGGGACCGGGGGTTGAGGGGGCGGGGACGGGGTGGCCGCGCCGCCGCTGCCGCCGAGCGGGGGATGGGCCGGTGCTGGCCCTGCGAGCGCTGCTTCTGCTCGCCCCACATCCCGCACCCGAGGTTTCCGCCCCGGCGGGGAGACAAGCGCAGCGCGCACACACAACGTCTCTTAAAGGCTCCGCGAGAGGCTTTGGATGGAATCGGGGACTTTGCCTATCGCAACTTGGCGATGTCATGAAATCCGCCGCTCGCGCACCACCCGGGATTCCTGGCGCATCTTAGTGCCCACAATGCCAAAGAAAAGTTCCCTGGTTTCTTTGCAGAGGGGTAGGGAGTGAGGGTGGGAAGGTGCCACGAACTGAGCTTGTAGGCATTTTCCAAACGAAAGATTTGGCCAAATCCGGGTAATGGCAAACCCTTCTCTTAATTGACTCTGATCACTTGTTCGGTTTGGTGGCTCATGTATATATATACATATATATGTGTGTGTATATATGTGTGTGTGTATATATACATGTATACACACACACACACACATATATATTCTTTTCAGAGGATAAAAGCCGTTCTGTTTCTCCATATTCCTTGTAGGGTTAACATTTCACAGGTATGTGGCCTGACATTTTAATTGCCCAAATAAAGCATCTCGGATGCTGAGAAGCAGAAGTAGACTTCACCTCATTGTCATGACGCAATTAAAATCAATTTTCCTCAACTTTACCCTCTCTCGCTGGTTTTTGCTAACTGTCCAGCCAACATCCTGCCACACACCCAGTCATGGTGAGAAGGGAAAGACCTCTGCCCACTGATGGACAGGAGGAGGCAGCCGCCCAGCCTCCCCTGTGCACACCCTCTGTACACACATGTAAGCGCACATGTATCAGATGCACATTTGTCAATGTACACAGACAAAGACTTCACCGACTATGCTTCTAGGTCATAGAACAGTTGAGTACGGACTTCATTGTTCCTCAAGTTCCTTTTAAGCATTCATATAGTCATTAAAACGCACCCAGAGATTCTGCCCCAAATGGGAAATAATACTAATACAGGTCACAAGAACCAAACACAAGTCGTATTCTACCTCAAGAAGTCACTGCAAAAAGAACAACTTCATAGCCCATTGCCATCCTGCTCCATGTGCTAAAATAATTGAGACAGTTGTGTCTTTGAATTCCAGGGTGTCTGGTTTTAAACATCAAACATGTAGAATTGCTCTCAGAACACACTATATTCCAACACAGTAAACTTGTTGTTTGATTATGACAAGTTAGTGAATTACCATTATTCCACATTTATACAAGAAAATTGTGTCTCCTTTGTACACACTTTGCACCAAGAGAAAACCTTATGCCGGTAAACCAACTAGGTTTGTGAACAATTAAAATATTTTACACAAAAGCCGCTGAGCTCCAGGAAAAAATGAACACATATGAAGAGTAAATTGACGACCACAGAAAACATCCTTGGTAGCTGAAAAAAAAATTGACAGGATAAAGATATTTTAAAAATAAACCATACATATAATTGACATGTATAGATTACATTTTACATTCAATTTTCTTTACACGCATAGGCAGAATATGAGGTAAGGACTAAAGATCTGGGCAGATAAGGACTGGTTTTTAGGAAAGGAAAAGTCTTTTAAGCTTCATTCCTGAAACCTCCTCAACCCTCACTCTTTCTCCGATGAAATCACGTATTTCACTAAAGCTGCAGGTTCTCGGTTTATTTGAAAGTTGTTAAATAAATTTTTAAAAAGCCCAACAAACCTATAGTGGACACTTAACTATCATAAACCTGGTGTGTAATAAGATTGCCACAGAGTGAAGCCAAGTTGAGAATTTCAAGTTGATTAGAGACACAATATAACTTTCTCCTAAAGAGGATAAGAAGGATGGAAAAGAAATCATTACAGAGGAGAAGGTTTTTGGTGGTGGTTGTTGTTTTCCCTTTCAACCTCTTTGATTCAGGAATTGCTAATGTTACAAATGTCAGTAGATTAGGGACAAGCTCAGCTGAGATATGATGAGACTGGGGTTGAGATAGGAAATATTATGGGCATTCCCATCTCAATAGAGGATGAAAATATTTGATTATAGGGAAATCTTAATCTCACCTCCTGAATGAGGAGACTTCCATAGCAGATTACCTTTTACAAATATGGGAAGGGACAATATCGAGGAGGAAGAACTTCCCCAGTCCACTCAGAGATTTTTGGAATTTGAAGTACTCTCTGATGGCCTTAGATTGAAATGGAAGAATTTCCCAGCCATATCTTAAAAAATTGGAGCCTGCTAGGCAAATGATCACAGGGCTGCCATAAAGTCAGGGTGTTTCACTCTGCATTTTAGGACTCATTCAGTTATGAAATGCTGTTACAAGGGGTAAAAACATCACCATATGAATTATACTTAATTTTAATGCATAGAAGAAGAGACAAGACTACAGACTGAGAAGAAAAAAGGCAAAAATATTTCAAATGTCTTCGCCAGAGATGCTCACTTGCTGTGCGTCTAAGGTTGAAAAGCTCTAAGAAGACAAAATCAATATATTATTGTTGTTTTTTAAAAATCCAACTCAGTCTTTTTTTGAAGATGTAAATTTATTTTAATGAGAAGAATGGCAAGCTTTAATTTGCCTAGAGAAAGGTGGGACAATATTTGCCCTAATCTAAAAAAGAAAAGAAAGAAACTCAATACCCAGCAATATAATTTTCTTGCAGAAAGCGGCCTGATGGGCTGTATTTCTTTACAGATTAAATCACAATATGAATACAGAGCCCAGCAAATGCCGAGTTTAACTCTGAACTCAGTAGAAACCAGTTCCGTCCTCCAGGATTCATTGAATTCCTCCTTTCCCTCAATCTAGTCCGTGTGTGTTTTTCTCTTCCACCACACTGGAGCTCCATGAATAGGGAAAGGGGCTTCCATTGTGTCCCTCTGAACTTCCAAGTCAATGCAATTTTTAACCACTGGCTTGTGGTACTTTGAAAATCACCAGGGGCTGTCAGAGTTGGGTCCTCTGAAAAATTTACAGTGCTAAATCAGAGCATATGCTGGGAGGGAAAAAATTGCTTAAGATTGGAGCAAGTACAGTATCTGTCTGCCCCCTAGTGTAAGAGTCCTGGCTGCCTAAAATTCAACTTTAAAAGAAAAGGAGCTCTTAAAGGGAAACGACTTTGGACTCACGTAGGCATAGGAGAATGAAACTTCTGTACATTTTAATCTGAATAATTCTTCAGGATTTAAAATTAATTGGCTCTGGCTTGGTTGGACCGTACTCGGATCTCGCCACCTCTGCGTTTCCCGAGCCACTGGCGAAGAGGTGATTTTTTTTTTTTTTTTTTTTTTTTGAACTGGGTTTTTGTGCGTCCCCCCTCACCCCCTCCTCTCTTTTTCTTTCTCTCTGTCTCTGTCGTCTCTCTCGCTGGCTTTTTTAAAATGAGGAACCGCTCCTTGAATGTTCTGGACAGAGCACAGAATTGCTTCTTAAGTCAGCCCGGCGCGGTTGCAATAGACAGCAAAAAGGTAAACGTTTGCCTGAAACCCGCACGCCAGCTCCACCACCCCGCCCGATGGTGAGTACCCTTCTCGTCGCGATTCTCCTCCTAGCTTAACCGAGCGCTCGCCTACCCGAACCGTGGCCGAGGGCGCCGGGCTAGGCTTTTCTCCCTCCCTGCCTGCCTGACTGTCAGTTGCACAAGGTTGCAAAATGAAGCGCAGAGGCAAAGCGAACAGTAAATTCTTATACTTAGTGCGAGCCTGGCAGCTCCTTTGCTAGAAAACCGAGTCATCTGCTGCTTGGAAAACCACGCTTATAGGACTGGTTTTTAGTTTGTTCTATGGAAGGAAATGAGTTTGAGGAGACAGGACAAGGAGATAGGAGGCTCCGCAGTCTTAACGCTTCGGTTTAATCATATTTTGGCAGCTTTGCAATTGTATTTTCCCCCTCTCCCCCCACCATCTCTCCTACCACACACATGTAATAAAATATGGCAATGCATTGAATTGACTCTGTTCCCCCCTTCCCCGAACCCCTTAAACCACAGTCCTCGGCATTTCATACACGTTAGCAAACCGATATTTTCAAAAACCCCAAGTCATCCCCAACCCCACACAGCACAAGGAGAAAAGTGAGAAAGGAAAGAGAGAGAAAAAAATACTGTAAGTAAACATACCAAAACCATATTTGCCTTGTTCAAGATCCCAAACCGCTTGCATCTTCCTCCTAAACTGGAATAACTCTCCTTTAGTTTGGCGGGTGAAATAAATGCTTTGTTGGCCCCCTGAAAAGATGTGTCTTTGATAATTAAAGAGAATCTCCTCCTCGGTGTTTATCTAAGCGATTGTGCAAACTGATAAAAAGTAGGCACTAGCCTGCAGGGAAAAAGAGGAAAGGTGAAGGGAGAGATCTTCCACCTCAAGGAAGTGCTTCCCCATGTATTAGGCTCTGTCAGCCTTGGAAAACCCTGCACACTAACTTTAGAGAGACAAGGTTTCAGGGAGCTTTGTACATAGCTGCTGAGGAATGCAAGCCTCGCCTTTAAGAAAAAAAACCCCAAACCGTAGGTAGGAGATGTCTGGAGTGATCCTTGTCTCTCATCTCATTCCTTAGAAGGAAGAGTGCGTTGTTACACCTTGTTTGGGGCTGGAAAGACGAGACTTTAAAAACACCCGTCCAATTGAAAAAAATCTCCCAACTTAATGAGTTTAGTCGGAGGCTGGAGCAAACGGCTCAGCCTCAGCAGAAAATCGCCAACAACTATAGGCGATATTGCAAAGCAAGACGACCCAAGGCACAGCCAAATTCCACTGTTTGGGGTCGAGAGGGATGGAGGCTAATCCTAAAGCAAGTTGGGAAAAAACAGAGGTGGAAGAGGAGGGGGAAAAAGCATCAGCCTCGCAGACTGGCAGACAGGCTTCCCTCATCCTGGATCAAAGATAGAACTTGAGACAGGAGGGCAACATTTTTCCTAGGAATCCGTTGGAATCCTCATTTTCTACTTTTAACTCAAGTCTCCCCAAGTGATTTTTTTCCCCCTCTCCCCTGTGGATTTCTGCCTCCCCCCTTTCCGGTCCTCATTCTAGAACTTTCCTGAGAAGGAAATCTATTTCTTTTGGGGGGAGGGGTTCCCCATTTCATGCCTTCAGATAATGAATGCTTGATTCACCCCCTCCCTTTCTCTACTCCCCAAAACGAATAAAGGAAGCAGGAATATGGTAACTAGTGAAAATTGAATATAAACTATGCTGCCTCTCACAGTTTAATACAGTTTTAACTAATGGATTTCTGTTTTGTTTTGTTTTAAGAGAAGAATAATGGGGAAACACGGATCTTTTATTTTAGGAAACTGTTATGGTAAGATGTATGTCAGACTTGACAAATGGAACTAACGCTCTTCGGCTGCTTCTTGTCCTTGTCTTAAACAGGAATTAAGTTAAACACAGTGCTGAATGTTAATTACATGTTTACTGGCTAATGAAAATTACAAATGGTTTTGCCACCTCAAACAATGATGAAAACTCTGAAGACACTGTAATTATATACTTTGAGCAAAATAACTCAGAATATTGATCATAAGAAGTGTAAATCTTTTTTAACTATTCATTAATACCATAAATATGGGCTACAGAAGTTTTTCCTTGCGGTTTGTCTCATCAGTTATACTGAGTGGATGGATGGTGAGGCTCCTCTGGGGAGGAGGTGAACTCATTCTCTTAGTAGAAGGAGGCCACTTGTGTAACTGGGGGGTGCCCCCTCCCTTTCGCCCCCGCCCCCTTCATCCCCAGCAGAAGGTCGAGGAATAGTTGAACAGGAAGGCCGAGCTCAGGGCAGGTGAAGGTGATCACAGCCTGGCCTTTTCCCTCCCCTCCCTGCCCATCTCACTCCTCTCCCTTCTCCCTTTCCTGCCAGTTCTGATCGATGACTGCCTTCCCCACCTCGGGCACCAGTGGGATAACCTGGCATTCGGGGGTTCCTAATGGAGGACCAGTTGGACCAAGAAGGTCACCCCACCCACAACTCAGCCATGGAGCCCTGACAACTTAAATTCCCTCCTTCAGAGATGGCTCAGGCAGTTCTTTGCAAAAGAAGGAAAAAAAAAGTTAGGGATGGAGGTTGCTATTGGGTAAGGTGGCTCAGGCGGCTGAACCAGAACTGGTTTCCCTGGGTTTGGAAGCAGAAAACATTTTTTGTTGTGGTTTTCTTTTAACTTTGGCTAGAGTTGTAGTGCTGGCAGCCACTCCGATCTCGGAGGTCAAAGGTGAGGGCTACATTAACCCTAAAAGGCTGTCCTGGCCTGGCCACAAGGCCAAACAGGCAGGGGAGAAGGGGTTTGTCAGCCTTGCAACTTGGCACTTTGGAGGGGACATCTGTGGAACCCACACTTGGGGGGCACAGCATCAAGTGTGGGTTTTCAGTGAAATATTGAGGATTTTTTTAAAAAGTGCCCTAGGCTTGTGGGACTAGAGTCCTCTTTTTCCCTGAGAATTCCCAAGGCGCTGGTCTTTGTCTTAGAAGGAATGGAGTTTCTGAATGGTGTGAAAGGGACAGAGAGGGTCGCTTCAAATCGATTTTACTTGTCCTTTCTGTCTTTTCGGATCAACGCCCTTCAATGGGCACAGAGGTGCTCTTTCAACCAAAAACTTGTGCTACATTTTCTGCCTGTATTGGTGCTAAATACAATAAGCACTGGGCAGGGTTTTTTTTTTTTTTTTTTTTTTCCTGTGCTCTCCAAAGCAAGAAAGCACCCTAATTAAATTGTTTTATATGGACCGTCAAGACGGACCAATTAAGTATGCATTAGTATAAAGATATAGTCTGCAGATAAGGTTGTTTAGAAAATCATGTGTAGGACAAAGGAGAGGGCGCTAGCATTTTGGAGAGGTGCCTAGACTCAGCAAGGTCATGCCCCTTCCTCCTTGGGCCCCAGGGGAATTGCAAAGGCCCGGGCCCCAGGTGAGAAGGGAACAAGCTCGCTAACAGGTGGGCGACATTGCGGGAGACTTTCAGGCCCGAAGCCCCGGCCCAAGAGTAGTGGAGTCCGAGGATCGGGATTCCTCACATCTTACTCGGGCAACGTAGCAGACCTAGGTAGCGGGTCCCACAGGACGCGGCGGGACTCTGCGGTGCCCTACTCCAGGTCGAGCCTACTGCCCGATGTCCCAGGTCCAGGGTGTGGCCCTGCACTAATGAAATCGTCTGCGCCCGGGGAAGGCCAGGAGGGCCAAGGGACACCGACAGTGTCACGGTCGCAGCCCTCTCACAGCCAATATCAGGGCAGGAGGCCTCCACCTAACACCTCCAAGCTAGGAGTTTTTTCTCGTCTTAGGAAAGGGGAGTTTTTCTGGGAGGAAAGTAACGTTCCCACCCGACGCCATCCGGCCCGATGGACGTCGAGGATCAGTCTCTAGAGTAGGGGTAAGGCCGAGGGGTCGGAGAAAGGGTAGCAGGGAGAGCGGCTTGTCGTCCAGCTGATGCAGCTCTGGGCTTCTCCACCCCCCTCTCCTCCCTCAGAGGTGTGGGCGGGCGGAGAGTATCTCTCCTCTAAGGAGGCGACCCCCATAGCAGGGGCCGGGGCCTCCCCGCGTCGCGGCTCAGGGCTGTGATAGGTGGTCCCAGGGCCGGGGGGCGCCAGCGCCGCGCGTTGCCGCTGGCAGGGCTCGCAGGGCGCACAGGGCACCCCTTAGTAGGGCGGGAGGGAGGAGTAGGGGCGAGAATTAGAGCCTGGGGAAGTGGCTGAATGTCAAAAGTAAAAGGTTGAAAAGCCAATTTTCCAGGCGCGCTTTCGCCCCCCTCAGCTGGTTGCAGGGGCAGTAAATCAGCGGCCGGTGGCGAGGGCGGGAGGAGCCCCCTCGGCGAGCTCGGCGCGGCCCCGCCCGGACCGTGCGCACCTCCCGGTGGGCCCCGAATCGATCCGAAGCCTAGCTGAGGATGTCACCGCACTAAATATTTACTGATCACACACAAATAGCCGGGGCTCGAACGATTTTCCTCTGTGAGGAGAGCGCGGAGAGAAGGGTAAATCATTTTATTAGTGTGGATAAAGCCCAGAGCACACTCCGGGCTGGAGTGTTTTAAGATGTGTCTTCAACAGGATGAAAAGAGTTAGGGAAATCGATACCGAGTGATTAGAAGCCCCCGGGGTGACGAAGGGGGACTGGGCTTTCAGGGATTTGGCGAGGCTGAGGGGGGGAGCAGACCTCAAGGGGGGCGGCCCGACCACCGCCAGGGAGCTCCCCGGCTCAGGCCTCCGTCCCTCCCTACTCGACGGGAGACGCGAGGGCGCAGGGAGCTGCAGGGAGTCCGCTGCGGCCAGGCTTCGTGGTGCCGGCGCCGGGTGAAGGCTGTGCGGGCCGCCGCGGGGCCGAGGGTTTGGGAGCCACTGGCTTCTCGCCGCGAGTGGCAGTGGCCAGGGGGCCGCGGGAGTGGATTGCAGGCGTGGTGTGGGAACACCGGGAAGTCCCCCACACGCAGTCACTCCAGACAGCCTCGGGGATTAAAGGTGTGGCCTAAATGGGTTGCATTTCTCCTTCTGGCATTTCGGGTACTCCTCCCAGCCGCGACCCGATGCACCCTCGAACTTTCTCCCGGAGAAATCTCTACCCCATCCTGTCTTTTAATATTTTTCAAGAGATCTCAATGGCCCATCCCCGCCAGCTGCCTTTTCCTCCCACCCACTTGGTGTCAGGGGCGGCCGCCGGGTGGCAGAACCCGCTGGGGACTGCCGGGATAGTGAATTCCAGGTTCTCTGCTCGCAGGTGGGACGACATCTGAGGCCGAGGAGGAAGGCAGGGGGCAGGGTGACAGATCCCGAGGAAGCTCCAGGACGTCTGCGTCCTCTGCTAGGCGGGAACTCAGCTTTGGGGGTATCAGGCCATCCCCAGCAATAGAAACCCATCGGGGCCCTTGGCTGGGTACTGCGAACCCAAGTGGCCAAGGAGTAAAGGCTGGCAGGGCTTGTTGAAGTTAGCAAGGCTTTGAGGGGAGTCTGCTGGGAGGGAGAGCAAAACCCCCAAACTCAAGCAGCGAAGTCCTGGCGCGAAAATGGCTTTTCACTTCTCCAAGCGCAAGTCTCGCTCGCTGCTGTGAACAAACCTTGAGGTTCGAAACAGCTGCAAATAATCTAGTAGGCGCAAATTTCGGGAGGGGAGAGGAGGGGCGAAAGGTAAGAAAAGGGGAGAATCTTTTTCGTTTCTTCTTCCTTTTCCCGCTCCTGGCCTTTTCCTAAATATCTGCGCTCCCTAAAGCAACTGATAGCGACCTACGTTTGTTTATTTATTTAGAAAGGTTCACCCCCACACCACCCTCCAATTACTCGATTTTCTTGGCAGCTTGAGGGATCCAATCCAGGCTGCCCGCTTGGCTCTTCGGTGCAACAGGAAATATAGCTGCAGATCCAATTAACCATTTTCCAGAAGAGAATTTATTTATTTTTTTAAATGAATCCCAGTGGATTGAAGCGACCGTGTTCAGGTGTGAGGCTATCGGGTACCTCGCATTCCTTCCTCGGTAATCCTCTAATTCCTGCGCTGGAAGTTCGCAAGCCAAGCTGACCTGGAGGGTGTCAGGAGCCGGGTCTCCATTAACCCTTCTTGGTCTTGGCCGGAACGAAGGTTAACTACACTAATCTACCAAAAGGAGACGTAGCAAAAAGGAAGCGAGGGAGGGAGGGAGTAAAGGAAGAAGGAAGAAAGGAGGAAAGGGTATATTCACTGTAGTTGCCAGAATTTTAGAGCTCTGCCCTTCACTGGTCCTCTCCCACCTCCACCCTTCCTATGAAAGCAGGTTTCCATTCAGAGAGACAACAGTCTCATCCATCACCCGCAGCACACTCCATGGAGATGGACTCTAGGGAATAAGAAAATATAATATAGTGAAATATTTTCTTGTATTTAACTGACCGCCTAGGCCATTTAAAAAATATTTCTGACCATGTATACAACAGTAGATTGCTGTGCAGGGAGTTTTAAAAACTAAAAAAAAAAACTAAAAAAAAAAAAAAAAAAAAAAAGGTTTATTTCATTTAAATAAAAGCTAATTTTAGAATCTTGTCAGTAGCCAAATTACAGCCATAGAATCTGGATGAGATTAGAAAAATATATTCTGCTGGTTTCAAACCTGGTGACATTCTAATGGGTAGTTGTATGATAGTTACATGCATGAAGGTGTATGCACGTGGGTGTGTATATTCTTATGGTGTTAGAAGTTCCTTGATGGATTAAAGGTTCATATACTCAAGCACTAGATAGAGGCTGTCACTCATGTGTACTGGCAAAAAGGCAGAAGGCAGTGCAAAAAAGAGTTTTGAATGAGCTCCTTAGAATCACCATTGTTGAAATACAAGCTGAAGCAACTTAGCTATGGTAGAGCTTTTGTGGCTTGCAAAATCACAGAAAGACACTTCAAAGTAAAACCATCAATTTTGCAGTTTGGTAGCTTTGGCAGGGCATTTAAATAAAAGGTGAGCATCTTTTGCCTAAATATTTAAAAATTTAGGGATATGCTACTCGGTCTATTTTACTTTTCAATGGATTGAAGAATTAAAGGAGAATAGGCTATAGCTAGAGATGATGGCATAAGGGGGCTCTCTGCCCGTTTAATCAAGTGTGATGTGACTATACATGCCTTTAATACCAATATTATATTGTAAGGCAACTCCTGCTGAGAAAGTTCCAAAGGCATCTAAAGCCATGTGGACATCAGTTCATACTTAGCAGTGGACAGAGTGAGGAATTATTGTCTGGTTCTACATTTTTCTCTTTCTCAAGAGCCTGGTAATGAAATCTTCTAAATGGCAGTTAATTTTTGGCATGTCAAGAAAAAGCATTAATCAAATGGTATCAAGTGCCAGTCATTTAAATGTGAAGGTGTTAGTAAGGCAAATACCCAGATAAATTAATATGGTTAATTAGCTGCATCAGTAGTACTTAAAGAAAATACAAGCAGAACAACAAAAGGGATTTAATTAAATTTTCTTAAAACACAAACTCAAGGTGAATTGTAGTTGGAGAAAAATAGTTTAAGGAGTGATTTCCATTCTATTGGTTTTTATAAGGTTTTTTTGGGGGGGGGACAGTTTCAATACAAAGAAGTAGGTGGACAGAGACAGACACAGTGTCATAATAGGGAAACATGCACAAGCTAGTTACAACCTCATTTCTCCTCTTAAAAGGCTGATTTCTGGAAAAGTTGAAGGTGAATGTTAAAAATAAATAAAGAACTTCTGTGTAAAATTAAGAGAAGGCTGTTTAACATCATATTCAGCTTCTTGACCATAGGAAGTATTAGCTTGAGAGTTTACAAAGTGTATTGTTTAAATAAAATTTATACTTTTCTTTTTAGTTTGAATACAAGGTAGATAAAGATATTTTTCCTATCCATCTATTATAATTCATAATAAATTAATCAACCTTGTCTAGGAGATTTCTATGTACTTGACTGAGGTAAATTGATTGAGAGGAAGTCGCTTTAAATAGTTTAAAGCAAAACTGAGAACCTTAAAGGAAGGGAATATTGAATTCAGTGAAAAATGTCACATTGGTTATTTCTTGGCAGGACCACGTCACATCACATCAGGGAGAAGTTAGCAAAATTGGGGAAGCCCATTTCTTTGTATAATGTATGTTAATAACTTATTTACTTCTAAAGATATGTTGCAATGTCTTTGCATATACTTTGTTGCCACATTACCAAGTAATTAAAAAAATGGTAGTATTGTGATATTTAAGTAGTGGGGATTTTAAAGGTACTTTTCTTCTTAGCCTCCTCTGAGTGATAAAGACTGATGTTTATTTACTAATTTATTTTTCTTACATGTGATTTTGGTTAATTTAATGGCTTTTAAAATTAGATAATATTTTGCTAAAGTCTACATTGTATATAAATTGAAAACAAATTCAAAAGTATCAAATCTTTTTCAGGAAGTGCAGTTGGAATGTTCAGTTATTGAAGAGCTACTACTTCAACCCCCCAGGTTCTATTAAAAACAAACAACTAAACCTGTTCTTCTTTCCTAACAACTCTTAAAATTGCAACTGGCATGGCTGTGGATGAATGAATATTTAATATGAGTCTTTAACTCTCCTTTCCCATTTACCCTGGAAATACCTTTAATTTGTCTTTTATGAGTATGTATTTTAAAAAGCATTAGTCAGTATACAAGAATTATTCACTCCCTTTTTAAAATCAGTGAATAAAAATTCTAATTATAGAAAAGAGGTGCGATGTTTATTCTGAAGTTTCAGTAACACACTAAGTTTTTTTAAATAAACTAGAAGAAACACTATCCTAGATAAATTAAAATAGGGCAGCTGTTGGGTAGGGTTTACATTCACATCCTTCTGCCTTTTGCTTTTGGTACAAAGGTATTTGGGTTTTTGTCTTCACATACTGTCTATTTTTAACAGAGTGAATTTTTGAAGTTAAAAATATTTTCAAATTGTCTCGCCTTAAAGTCGAATGCATTGTTAAACTGAAAAACATAATATTCACTTTTGTGTTCAAGTTGGTATGTCCAGGCAGTAATGAGAAAGGTATGTTCTGTAAAATGTCTCCTCCCCTAAAAAACAAAACACATAAACATCACATAAACTAAGCCCAAGAGAAAAAACAATTCTTAGGATTCAGCGTGTTTGAACAATGGAGCTCTTAATAAGTTTTAATTTCTTTTATTTTAAAAATCTTAACTATCTACTAAGATGGGACACTTCACTTTTACAGTTTCATATACTTTTTGAATTTAAAAGCAAATTTTAACATTGCAGGATTTTTTAATTGTAGACAGATTTGAAAAATAAGCCTCCAAAATAAAAGACAGACAAGTGACAGGGCATGATGTCTTGCCTAAGTTTTTAGGGATATTACAAAAGTTTTCTTTTAAAAACTACAATAACATGCTTTTTCATCAAGTACAAAATAAGATAGGAAGAAGAAAATGAAGAAAAAGTCTCCCTCTCACTCTCTCTCCCACCAAAAGACCCCAAACAACAACAAAACAAAATAAAAAGACACCCAAATCCTAAACCCCATAAATGAAGCCCCTTACCATGTTGGGAAAGTTTCTGCGCAAACTGAACTGTTTCTGTGGGTCCTGCCAAGCTCCTGGCTGGTCAACTTTTTAAACGCGGCAGGCAATGGTTAGAATGAGGTGAGCAGCCTGGCAGCCTAGAGAAGGAGGCAGACTTTTAGAGCTCAGCTCCAGAGACCTACCACTTAGGGGGAAAGTTGGGAAAGCAACTGTTGAGAGTTAACCTCTCCTTTCCAAAGGAGGTTTGCAGAGGCAGGACAGTGAGAGCTGATACCACCAATTTTATTATTTTCTCAGGCATTCCTAACTTTTATGATTTCCCCCCTCCTTCCTTTACTATCTGTCTTTGTGCCTCCAGGGCCAGTGAAAGAGCAGGGCAGATTCTAGATTGCTTTCAGAGTTTGCCTTCTCTGATGATGGATTACCATGTCAATTTAAACAGCATAGGATTAATTTGTTTCAATGATTTCTCTTTAGGCTGAATGCCAGCCGTTTTTCTATCTTTCTCTTTGCTCTTCAGAACAACAACCACCAAAAAAAAAAAAAAAAAAAAAAAAGCCTTCTTTCCATATTCTAGGTTAAGACACAATAATAGAATTAGACAAGTTAGGTGTAATGTTGCAACACAGTTAAAGGTCTGAGTGTTTTTTATCTCTGCCTAAGAGGCTGAAACATACAGTCAGTCACATTAAAATGAAATTGGACTCAACATTTATTCAATAAATACTTGTCTTGTAGATAATCCAGTGCCGAGTGCTTTTGACACATAAGAACTTAATTTGTCTTGGATAACAAGTTATTAATATGGTACATTTAAACTTGCCACCTACAATAAGGTTACTGAGCTCTACAACAAACTCAAATGATCATTGTGAAAAATAGTTTGTGTGAAGGAGGGAGACATTTTTTGAGAATGCTGATATTATTATATGTAAGTATATTCACATACAAACCAGTAACACATAGGGGCACATGTGCATGTGTACATACTCTCCCCAACATATGTGTGTGTGTGTATACACACACACACACATACACACACACATATTCAGATCACATATGACAAAAAAGTTCAGTGAAGTTAAAAAAAAGTCCATCCATTATGCAGATGTATCTAACCTTTCCTAAATAAGAATGTGTCAGAGAATTTTCTCTTTTGAAAGATTTCTAAAGTGCACAGGAAAAATGCTGTTCAAATCCAATTTTTTTGCAAGACCAAACCCATTATGAGGTTGAAAATGGCACAAAAAAAGCACTTAGGTGCAATCCAAAATCAAACAACCCCTCCCCATTTTTCACCTAGTCTGAACTTGCAGACAGCCAGAGCATGTTGCTAGTAGAATAAAGGCAATTTAAGTGAAATAATCTATTACTAAAGTGATTATTTTATTTCCTGCTCTAACAGGAGGTCCTCCAATGATGCAAAAGGACAGGAGAGAGATTTCATCCTATGGACCGAATATATTAGGCAAACATATTTTGAATTATGGGCTTCTTTTTCACCACCCTCTTCAAATTTTCTCTCCTTTTCCCAGCATTCCCTCACACTGAGATTTACATCATAGTTCAGAATAATAAAGTACATTTTGAATATGAACACAAATGGATTCTAGAGCCTTCCCCTTTTCCTCAGCTTTCTCGATGCACAGGCGGGCTTTATTTGAACAGGTTCTACTTTCTAAGAACATGCATGATCAGAGGCCAACGACTGTCAGTACTGGAATCTATGCAATTTTAATTTGTAAAAAAAGTTGTTGGTTGCTAACCTTGGGGGAGATTGTGCATCTCTAAGAAACCAAATCTTTGAGTGCTCTCCCTGGAAAATGACGTTACACATGAGCAGAAAAATCCAGGCAAGAAAGGCTAATTGAATGAAGAGAGAGAATTAGGTTAAAAAATAGAGTACAATCTAGTATCACATTTTCACTAGTGCAACTTGAAATGAAGGTGTCTTCAAGTCGCCAGTGTTGCCAGAGTGTTTAGATGTTGGCCACAGATGGGAACACCTATTGAAATGTGTCTGAAGAAGATTAATAGGGCTTGTCACTGTTGGGAAAGCACTGCTTTGCTGTAAATTTCTACCAGCACAAGATGAATTACCGATGAATGCTCACTTATCAACCCCATCACTATCGTTCGACACTAAATCAAATTGAGAAGTTATCTGCAATCAGAAAATTTCTTTTTAAAATAGACATACACTTTTAGGCCCCAACTCTTTACTAATCCCACGTACAAAACAATTCCCCATCCCCTGATGCTTCTTTGGCTTAAACAAAATTATATCTCAATAATGAATATATTTTTAAGTTTATACACAATAAGCAGCTGGTCAATAGCAAAGGTTGGCAATATTTTCGAGAGGTATGAAGGCTTCTTGGAGGTCATCATTTAACATTTCATAAAATGTTTGTGTGTGTGTGTGTGTGTGTGTGTGTGTGTTTTAACTTTTAGGTCTTTCTCTCCCTTACTTGGAAGGCAAAGAAGAGAGTGAGTTTACTGTTGTAAACCCTGTGACCTAATAGTCCTCTGATGCTCTGGTAAGATCTAATTCTAAGAGAACTGCAAGTTTAAGTAGAGAACAGTAGAATTGAATTCAATAGATGGCAGTGATACTTGGGGACATGCATTTATTTTATGATTTAATGGTATTTTAGATATCTATTTTTTAAGTTGATTTATTTGAGAAGCAAAGCAGGGGCATTATCTCATTTTATTATTTATTAACCAACTCTGAGCATCCAGAGGCTTTCCAACCTAGGGATAATTGCATTTTGATAAAACCATCAACACTTGTATTGTTATAGGGCTCTACCTGTTTAAAAAATGTGGTCATATGCATGATTCATTTGATTTTTACTAAAGTCCTGTACAAGAAGAGATTTTGAATTCCCATTTTGCTGATGAGTAAACTGAGGTCTTGGAGCCAATAGGAGCACAGACGGACTTTGAACCTATTTAACCTATTTCTCCTGGGTTCCTTTCAGGATTTTTTCACTTATCATTATGTAAATAAAGCAGAAGATGGCTGGGCTAGGTGGCTCACACCGGTAATCCCAGCACTTTGGAAGGCTAAGGTGGGCAGATCATGAGGTCAGGAGATCGAGACCATCCTGGCTAACATGGTGAAACCCTGCCTTCACTAAAAATACAAAAAATTAGCCGGGTATGGTGGCGGACACCTGTAGTCCCAACCACTCGGGAGGCTGAGGCAGGAGAATGGCGTGAATCTGGGAGGTGAAGCTTGCCATGAGCCAGGATCGCACCACTGCACTCCAGCCTGGGTGACAGAGCGAGACTCCGTCTCAAAAAAAAAAAAAAAAAAAAAAAAAATTATGATGATACTAATAACAGCTAACATTTACTATATACCAGAACTATGGTCACCATTTATTTATGTAACTTTATTTAATCTCTATACACCTCTCTGTGGTAAATACTGCTATTATTTCTATTATCCAAGAGAAAAAAATGAAAACCAAACAGAATGAGACTTACAGAGTTTAAAGACCTGCCTGAAATTCACATTGTTAGTAAGGTGGAGGCATATTATTCAAATCCAGGAAGTCAGAATTCAACGCTACTGCCCTATCCTATGTTCCTGTTTCCAATTACAAGAAGTCTTAAATTGTATTGAATGCTCACAAGAAACCCCACTTCTTTTCAGAATATAAAATTCCTTAGACTCTGCAGCAGTGTGCCATGGCAGAATAGGCACTGGTTTGGAAATAGGGAGACCTCAGCTTAAATAAGTAGGTGACTAGTTAACTAAGTAGGTGACCTCAACCTTTATGGCCTTTACTTTCCTCATCTCTAAAATGAGTTGCTTGGGTCAAATGGATCTACGGACATTGCACTTGTGTACTTCTTTCACTTACGGTTCCCAAGAGGAAAAAAGAGGAACAGAGAAGCAACAGCCATCTCTGCAGAGGTGAGTAGGGGCGCGTGACACAGTGCACTGTGTGAGGGCATGGCTCCTGCTTCTTGGAGACTGTCTTGAGGACACTCAGCGTTAGAGGAAGTCTCCTTTTTCTTTTTCTTGCCTCCAGAGAGTACTGAATACTTAAAACAACGGTGGTTCTTTAGAAAACCATAGAATTTAAAACTTGCAAGAAAATCCTTACCTCCATTATTTTCCAAGTAAGAGAAAGAAAGAAAGAAAACTGAGGTCTGTAAAGGTTAGAGGACTTACTTAGGGTCATTGACCTGGTTGGTGATGCAGTTGAAACTGGACCGCTTTCTTTTGGCCCCCAAACCAGGAATCCTCACCCTATGAAAGCATCTTCCTTACGCTATGCTCCTTGCTCAACAAAAAAAGACACTTTAGATTATCTGATCATGTCCCTATCATAACCATTTCTCTATTTTATGATGTGATACTTTTATTGGGTTATTATTGGCTGTAATATAAAATTTTTCTAGGTCTCTCTCACAGTAGTTTTTCATAAAACCTATTAAATTCACCAGCTAAATAGTGGAAGCTGCAATGAAGAATCACACAGTAATAAGAATATTCTGTCATCTCCATTAAGTCACAATAGTACTCCAATCTGTATTTATCACAATGGTCCTCTGATGCCTCCATCACCCAAATTGTTAGATTTATATTCTCTAATGGTTCCCCAATGGGAAAAACCTGTATTTTTAATTTTTCTTTTCCTGTCCCAAATCACCCTTTCATATCCATTGCCTGTTTTGGAACCCCCGTCTGGGTTTAATCAGAAGTTGCAAGACAAAATGTGCATTATTAAGAAATATAAATATTTTCAGAAGCAATCAAAGGGATGAAAGATTGATTCAGCATGCAGATTGGACCTAATTCGAAGCAGCTTTGTTCTAATGAGGGCTACTGGGATACAAAGTCAGGAGCCGTTGTACCACCAGTTAGTTGGAAATTCTAATGCATTAGAATAATCTGTCAGGGTTTTTTTTTTTGCTAGATAGGCTGAAAACATTTTTTTGCAAGCTATGTTCCCCAGTCTCTGGGCAAAACCACCTTCCTTGCCACCCTTAGGGACTTGTAATAGGTAATAGTCATCTTTGAGAAATTATGACTAATTCGTTCTTCTCTTTAGAGTTCAGATCAGCAAGTACCTCCCTTTTCCCAACTCAGAAGCTGGCTTAGCATTAACTTTCATAAGAACATTTTGGCCTCGAGGCATCTGTATTACAATTTCTTTCTTGGCATAATAAAAGGTATCACATTATCTACCTGGTCAATCTCTATTGGCTTTCAAAATAGAGACATGGAAAAACCTAATAAGCCTCATTAGGATATCTGCTTTAAAAACAAGGCTGCCTCATTTAGCACATTGCTGTGAAATGTCCCAGCAGAGCTGGGTGGTCATTGCTTGAATACAGGTATTGCTAATTTGGGATCTTTGTTAGTCTGGTAGCTCTGAAAAAAATGCCTAATGTGTAGGTGGAATTTTAATACACAAGGGATCAAACCCAGATCGTTGTATTTTGTTTTTGTTTTCTTTCTTTCCTTTAATCCCACTTCTTGTCCACATGGCCATGTGTGAGAGATGGCTT